AGATATCTATAACCAGTCTTTTTAGTATTGTGTAGGAAAAGATTGACTGTCCAGTATTTTAGCAATTGTCATTGCACACCATACATAAACATGGGTACATAGCTTTCACACCTGAAAAGATAAGCAAATGTAAAAGTGCCTTAAATCTGCATTGTTTCTACTTTACTTTCTGTATTGATTTTGACTACACTTTCTTCTTTTTCTACTTTCTAATAAAGCAAAATTTTAAAAGGAATCACTGTTTATTTCATTGTTTTTACTATAGCTCTTTCAAATTTCCAATTTCTCAAACACATTATATGTCATATAAAAAACGTATCTGATTTTAGAATGCTACATTCTTCAAAGTAATGGACATAGAGCCCACCTTACATTTTAAGATACATAGTTAATAAAAGTTATAAATACAGTACTTGAACTTAATATGTCTCTCTCCAGACATGTGACATATGTCCATATGATTGGCAAACTTGTCCCGTACTTTTGCAAGCATTTCTGGAGTCACTGTAACCAGATACCAGTGAATGGCTGTGGAATTAAATCACTTACACAGTAAAGATGATATCTTGTAATTTATTTTCTTCTTTCTTCTTTCCCCCCCTGAGGTAGGTTAGGTTGTAATAATCTTTCCTGCAAAAGAGAGCTGTAGTAATGTCAACACAAGAGACATTCACTTCTAGAAGAACAAGCATAATGAGCCTCTGACTAAGAGCAAACCACAAAAAATAATGCTAAGACCCTGCACAGGAAGAGTGCAAAATGTCACGACATACCACAAGTGTCATCCATGACAAGGGGCAGTCTCAATTTGTTAGTTAGACGTTTTACCTTAAATGATGCTGTTCTTTCATTGCTGTCTGCTGATGACAACCCATTAGCGGCACTGCGAGTTGAGAATAGTTAAAGAATAAGAATAACTTTATTGATCCTAAAGCGAAAGTAACCAATCTACTTAGCCCTCTAAATACATCTCAGCATTACTGTAACATGAACAGTCCGAAAATATTATAAATAATATCTTTACTTGTAAGACCATGAGCTTCATGTGACACTGACGCTCAGTTTCTTACTATACCATTAGTTAGAGTTCTTTGCAGTGTCGAAAAAAGAAAGAAAAGCCGCTGCAACTCTGAAAGTCTCCATGTGGTCAACAACAGAGATGGGCAGTAACGCGTTACTTGTAATGCGTTACTGTAATCTGATTACTTTTTTCAAGTAACGAGTAAAGTAAGGGATTACTATTGCAAAAACGGTAATTAGATTACTGTTACTTTCCCGTAGTAACGCTGCGTTACTGCGTTACTAAAACCGTGATTTTTTGCAAGAATGTCTCACGACAGTGACGTAAGCGAGTGCGCCGTTAGTGACAACAGCTGTGTGCAGATCAACAATGGATCACATATCGATTGTGGGAGAGAGTATGAGCGTGCAGCGTTTAAAGCGTGGAAGTACTGACCTTACTCTGAGTTTGATTCCATAAAAAGTGACAAAAACATTAGCGTCCATCGTGCGTGGGAAGAAAACTTCTTTTTACAGCGAAAAAACCCCCTAAACTTCCAAGCAAGCACCGAGTGCACAACGACATAATGGGAAACTCACAGAGAAACTCGCGGATTCTTCAACTCACCGCGGCACACCTGCACCAGGGTAAACCTCCGCCTACCCCAGTCCTGCTTTACAGGTGAAAATAGAGCAACAGGACCGCTGAGTCTTTGACTTTATTTATTTTCTGCTGTGTTTTACTTGCATCTATTTGAAAGAGTGAGTGTAAACACAAAAAATATTTTATTTTATGTGCTGGAATGTGCAGAAAATAGGTTTAAATGTTAAACTAATTTCTTCCAGTCAGAGAATGTTGCATATAATTACATTTTTGCTTGATGCATAAAGTTAAAAGATTAAAACTGATAAAACAAGTTAAAAAAAAAAGACTTTTCCATTTGATTACATTTTGTATGATGGATTATGTAGAAAAAGTAGAATTGGGCTGAAAGATCTATCGCTTTATCACCTATTCAGGTTGTAAATCATGTTTTTAAAAAGTAACTAAGTAACTAATTACTTTTGAAAATAAGTAATCAGTAAAGTAACGGGATTACTTTTTTGGGGAAGTAATCAGTAATTAGTTACTGATTACTTTTTTCAAGTAACTTGACCAACACTGGTCAACAACTGACATATATTATGCCCCTATCATGGTCTAAACCAGTCAGAGATAGTCAGGGGTGGGACCTCTCTAATTAGCCGCAGTCCAGATATTCCTGTAGTCCTTTGTGTGTACGTTTGAAAGTGCAGGCAGATAGATAGAGGTGAGTAGCTTGAATAAAGAGAAATCAATTCATTAAATCCTGAATCGACTTTTAAATATAAATGTATTTTGCCAGAAATGCCAGAATCTCAGATTAAAGCCCACAAAACGATTTCAGCAACGTAAACACAGAGCGCGGATGCGCGCTTTGTGTTTACATCCTTTTTGCGCTAGGTCTTGTCTCTCTTTAACAAAAATTCCCTGAACCAGCAGCAAAAGAAGATTCAAACTACGCTTCACATTTGATAAATGTCGTCATTAATTCTCTCTTACTTTTGCTGTTTTGCTTCCACCACGTTAAAATCATACTTCATGCACAGCTCTCTCTCTCGCAGTGTACTTTAAGAACAGTTTCCCATCGCAAACGGGTCATCAGAGGAGGTCGATGTGATGATTAAGTTTAACATTGTCTGCAATATTACCAAAGAGTCCCAAAGCACTTTAAACACAAGCACTTTTTCAGTAACTTGTTGACAAGATTGTTATTTAATCATTTACAGACAATATTGTCTGTATGGACGGCCCAAAAAGTGCACATGTAAAATGTAAATGGTAAATGGCCTGCATTTGTATAGCGCTTTTCTAGTCCCTAAGGACTCCAAAGCGCTTCACACTACATTCAGTCATTCACCCATTCACACACACATTCACACACTGGCGATGGCAAGCTACATTGTAGCCACAGCTGCCCTGGGGCGCACTGACAGAGGCGAGGCTGCCGGACACTGGCGCCACGGGCCCTCTGACCGCCACCAGTGGTCAGAGGGCCTGCTTGACAACTGCGGTGTCAAGCGATGCGCTTGAAAAATTTGGGCGCCTAACTTTTAGGCACACCAGTGCAACCGTGACAAAAAGTTAGTCTAGAGCCCTGCTCTCATGTGCTTTTATGTATGCTAGGGCACGCTCCCAATGAGATGACAGAGGGTGTCCTGGGGGGGGTCTCCTACAAGAGGTGACCAGGGCATAACTGGTTTCATGGACAGTCTGCAGCGTAACCTGGTGGTGTCAGATGTACCTAAACAAAATTTCCCATAGCTGTTCTTTTGAATTTAGGTCAGTCGGGCGTTGGGGGCCAGTATCAGTTTCTTCATCCTCTTGGATCTCTTGCTACATGAGGCCTGGCATTGTGGTTCACCTGGAGGAACCCCAGACCCACTCGGTCTATTTTGTCACGGAACTGGGTTTGCGATCCAGTGTTTTGTGTGTTTTCGTTTTATTCTTTGATTATTGTTATTTTCACAGTGTTTCCTGGTTTATTTTGAAAGAGTTTTGTGTGTCTTTGTCATTGTTTTTTGTTTCACTTCCTCTGTGGCGTCATTATGTTCGTTCTAGTCAGCTGTTTCCCCTGTGTTTCCACTTCTTCTGATCACCTCCTGTGTGTATGTAAGTCCCCTGTCTTCCTTTGCTGATTGTCAGGTTGTCTGTTTACCATCCACGTCTCATCTTAGTATTCATAGTCTTCATTGTGGTTTCATAGTTTTCACTGTTTTCATAGTTAGTATTAGTTCTTTCCAGTTTAGGTGTTAGTTTAGTTCTCGTCACTGTTCATGTTGTTTGCACTTTTCGTCGTCAGCCCTAATGAAGGCTCGCTTTTGTTTCCTCGCTCAGTGTCTGCATTTGGGTCTATATTCAAAACACACCGGCGTACCCCACTGTGACATATTTATTGTGTTCAACAGACTCAATAAACTGATTGGCAAAGCCAGAAATGATGTGGGGATGGAGCTGGACTTTCTTACTGTGGTGTCAGAGAGGCAGACGCTTTCCAACATAAGGACAACGCTGGACAATACCTTGCACCCACTCCATAACGTGCTAGCTAATCACAGGAGCACATTCAGTGAGAGACTGAGATTACCCAAATGCACCACTGAATGACATCATATTTTTACTGTTTTACTGTCACTCAAGTTCATATGTGTGTGAAGGTAGACAAACAAATACTGCTGGCAATACAGTGTTGATCAATTATTAGTAAACAGTACAAACATAAACAAATTATTTTTTAGTTTGCTTTACACATTGTCCAAACATGGTTTTTGAATAGTAACTTTAAAAAATTAAGTCTCAGCCTACACATTTCTCTCAATTGTCCCATAAGTTTGAATGAGTGGTGTGTGATAGAGACACGGCAGGTCCAGAGAGTGTTAGGCAAAGCCATCGTTATTGCACACTCGGCTGCACCTCTCAGCTGTCAGCCGCACATTCATCACACCACAACTCACAACAACCCCTGCTTCCCCGTGTTTTTAACACGGCAGGCGTGATTGCGGATGCCGTGCAGGTGGGTCCGCACGGCACCACTGACCATGCCTCACCACAGATACTATGTCATGAAATATGGAAGTTTTTAAAGCACAGAATGAAAATTACAATAATCTCAGTTTAGTTTAACAGTCGTGCAAGTACAATGAAGAATTCATCCATGGGAAATACACCAAGTCAAATTTCTCACGGTCAAAAAGTGGGTAAGTATATGTGTGTGTTCTTGTTGTTGTTGTTGTTATTGGTGGTGATGGTGAATGGGGTAAGGTTGTTAATGATATATTTGATCACAACCTTAGAAGCGTTTAGGAGCCCATTTTGCTGACTTGTTAATTTCAGTTGTCAGACCACATCCTTTCAGCTCTCTGTATAAAGCTGAGCGTCACAGTGTCAGTGCATTCAACATCTATGAGAGACAAAGGGCAAAATGTTCTGCCAGAGTTATTTCAGTGTTTTCGTTTCATGCATGCTCCTCGTGATCATCCAGCCAGGTGATTAATATTTTATGTGGTACTTTAATTTACCTGTAGACAATTTTCTCATTCATTTAAATAAGCAGAATGCATACTCGGCATTACAAAAGCAGTTGGTGAAGGGTATTTGTTTCACTCATCTGTTTTTGACTGCATCATCTGCTGAATTTGTTATGTGATGGATATTTTCTTTTTGTTTTAGGTGGTGGGTCTGAGATTATTGGAGGGAAAGAAGTCGAGCCACACTCGTTGCCTTTCATGGCCTATGTGGAAAGCAAAAAATCTTTCTGTGGAGGGACGTTAATCCATCCACAATGGGTCCTGACTGCTGCCCACTGCAAAGAGTAGGAATGCTTCACAATATTGTAATATTTATGTTTAACTGACGGTGTGAAAGATAATACATAAAGAGATTTCACAAGAGATCAGAAGGAAAAAGTCTTTATTATAATTATTAATGTAAAAATTTTTGTTATTTTTTTATTTATAGATTGTCCATATTCTTGTAGTAATTAATATCTTCACAGAGAATTTTGCACTAGTCATTGTCATTTTTTTTTTTTTACATTTTTTAGAATTTCTTCATTTCCTTATCATAGATACAAATCAAATTGGCATCAAACATATTGTCTGTTGTTTTTATAGAAAAGCCTGTAAAACACAAGTAGATTTGTCTGCATTGCACATAAATATTGATGTTGGCCATAATCCAAATGAGAAAAAAAAAGATTAAATGTTTATCTAAACAGTGTGGTAATCACTGTTTAGAGACTGCACTCAGAAATTTCATAACTGCAAAATGTTATATCATTGAAATTCTTTATTCACCTGGAGGAAGACACCATGCAGCTTTATCTATGTCTCTAAAATAACCATAACCCAACTATATACAATAATACACATATAATGAAATAACTGTGCAGCTATGATAATGTTATAATTGTTTTATTTAAAAGGGTTAATCTGACCTATTAATCTTTTTTATAAGTGAACTTTCACTAATACATTTTTTTTTCTTCTACAGTATGAGTAAAGTGACGCTGGGAGCACACTCGATCAAGAAAAAAGAAAAAGCTTCTAAGCAGGCCCAAAAGGTTGATAAACGTTTTCCTCATCCTGACTATTACCAGGGATCCAGGGAGAATGACCTCATGTTGCTCAAGGTAAAGTGATCATTCATTGTCTGAAACCAAGTTTAAAAAAGATGCATTTATGTGAATACGTTTGTTTTTAATCTTATATGATGTATTTCTGTGTGTGTGTATGGATAAATCAATAAATCACTGTGCCTATTTATACATTTTCCAAGCAAAATGTACAAATATGTCACGGCAAATGGATCCGACTCAGGCTCAGACTGGAATCACAAGTTAGCAGTTCTTTTATTTACACAAAACACCAGGTGCAGAATATATATACAGATGGAAGGAAAGCCAGGGGTTCCAGTGGTCTACCGGGTAGGTTTAGGGGAGAGAATCAGATCCTTCTCACTCGTTCGCTCTGTTTGAGACTTCCACATGCACGCCACTCCAAACTGCCAATATCCACGTTTAAGTTTCCACGGTTCAGGAAGTCTAAGCACAGAGAGACGAAAGTCACAAATAGGTTCATACACAAGCACACTAGAATTCACCGAGCTGGATTTACACTAACGTATCAAACTCAATAGTCCAGCGATGAGGAGCTCAGAGCCACTGCCTTAAGAAGTGGCCCGAGATTAGGAGCAGGTGCGTGGTCCAAAAGCAGAAGCTTGGAGTGAGCTCCACCCAGGCAGAGCAGTGAGAGAGCAAAACCAAAACACATGTAGCCTTGCGGGGCCGACCATGACAAAATAAATGAGTGGTGTTTCAAGACTGTAGCACAGTGCTGTATATATACAAAATTTAAGGCCAGCTCTCTAAAGTTAATATAGTCATTATCAATATCTTTCTTTTTAATTTTGTTTCAGTTGAAGAAACCAGTAAAGCAAACCAAGACAGTACAATGGCTCCAGTTAGCCAGAGTTGTCAAGGACCCTCCAGCTGGAAGCAAGTGTCTGGTTGCTGGATGGGGAAAAACTGAAAACAAGAAAACATCAGATGTTCTCCTGTCTGTCAATGTGACTGTGGTCAGTAGACAGACATGCAACTCTCGTGATTATTACAACCACAACCCAGTTATCACCAGTGACATGATATGTGCTGGTTCAAATAGTGAAAAACAGGCTGATACCTGTCAAGTAAGTATATAGAAAGTATGTAAGGAAGTAAATATCTATATTAAAATATCCATCCAACTCAACACCTTTTTGTTCTTTTGTCAGGGCGATTCAGGAGGACCTTTTGTGTGCGATGGCGTGCTGGTTGGCGTCACTTCTTTTGGAAGAGGTTGTGGTAGCATTAAAAAACCTGGAGTCTACTCGTTTCTCTCAGAGAAACGGCTCAAGTGGATCAAAAAAACAATGCAATCCTCAGAAATGTTATAAACCCACAGGTGTCAATCCATACAAGCTGAGCAAGAAGCAAATCTTTTCTTTGATATTAAATGTCCATGCTTTTAATGTAGATTGCTTACTTGACCATTATCCATTTTATCATTTCATATTCTATTTTCTGATATTTCAGTTTCTGTTAGCTTGATGAAATTCTCTTTCATCTATGAAAAAAAATTTTTGAGCATGCTCTTTTATGTTGATTTTTTATTCCATCTATCTTTGCTTAAAAAACCCCATAAGTTTGCGGGGAAAGCCTTGTGGAGGAGACATAAGGACCCAGAATGCAGGCAAGGCTGAGATGTGAGTGAACTTTGTTGCAGGAGGGTGACATACAACCAAAAGTGAGGGTGCAAAAAAACAGAAGTAAGAAAGACTCTCAACCGAGAAAACTAATAAAACAAAACTCAAACCTAAATTTGCAGGAGAACATGGGGAGAGAAACACAGCATGAAGCAGGGCAGTAAGACAGCATGGAGGAACACAGACAGACCAGTAACAAGCAGGATAAAACACAGGGTTTATATACAGACAGGAGCGATCAGGGAATGAGAAACAGGAGGGAGACACAGCTGGGGTAAATTATACATAATGAGAAAGGGGAAGCAAAACTACACTCACTGCATGTAGGACGGGGACTATCAAAATAAAACAGGAAACGAGACAATTAAAAAGACGAGGACTTGACACTGAGAGACAGACTGAAAGAATATGACACATGGAACACAAGGAAGACAGTGACTTAAACTAGAAACCAGAACAGCAAATAACATCAAGAGAACACTGGGAAACACCAAGGACCATGACAATAAGATATTTTTATTAACCTTCTACTTCATAATATAGCTGGAGGCATTCTCTCTTTCTTTCATTGTTTGTAACTCTGTCGTCTTTTTACTCCTATACATACACCACAGCAGACAAATGCTAGGTTTCTATACAGGAAGAGTGCACAATTTCCCCAAAGCCCACTAGACTATGACTAGGACTAGGACTTACTCAGCGTGCACATTTTCAGAGGACATGCCAGTACTACGTTCATGATCTATATATATCATATATGCCCCAACACTCTTTCAATTATCATTTCAAGGCCTCTTTTTTTTTTTTCCAAATAACACAATGTAGTTATTATTCATTATGATACATTTGACCACAGGTGTTAAATTAATATTCAAGGTTTTATTGTTTCATGTGTGGTGCAACACCATGTGATACATAGCTACTAATCAAAAAGTGATGTGTTATGTGGACCCATGAATATAAGTATTGATACATTTGCAGAGGAGCAGGACAAGTTGACTGCAGTAGAGAGCAGCACAATGATAATTTTATTCATAATAAAATCGATTTTGACAGGACCTTTCTAAACCAAAGTTAGAAGGTGCTTCACTTAATTTACCAAAAACTGAATTAAAAACATTATGAAGAAAATTAAAATTCATAACACAAGAAAATACACAAACAAAAAAAGCAAATACAAAAAAAGATGAAGAAAGCAGGGAAGAAATTTTGAGATGAGAAATATTCTACAAAAGCCAATCTCTACAGGTGGATTTTTAAAATTTGATTTGATTGTTTTCCATATATGTGTAACTGACTGTGCTCACCTAACAGTAAGAGGATGTTTATGCCACAGTCTTTTAGCTATTAGAGTGAAAGCACAGTCCACCTTTGCTTCAAGTATGTGAACTGTCCAGCTGTCCAGTTAGAGTCTGTTGGTGATAGCGACCGAGTTGTGGTCAGATGTCTACGCAAAATGATTGTGGGCAATAATCTCAAAGTAATTTGGGGCTTTTTAAATAAAATATATTTATATTAGGGGCTTTTAAGGAATAAGGTGCTGTTAAAAAAGACCAGCTGAAGACATGTAGTAATTGTTCTCAGATCAGATTTGAATCCAGTCTTCTGTATCAATCTTTTGGCAAACAGGCACTGTTTATCTTGCTAAAGTGGCAACCTATTTTTTGAACTTATTATCATTTCTTTGAATTTGTCTTTTTCTAGTATAAAATTATTTTATAGCATATATTTTATGATATTTTAGTTTTTGTTCACATTTTTTATTTATCTATTTATAAACTCTGTACATGTTAGTCCTTTCCACTTCAGGTATCAGATGGCACAAACATTAAGAGGAGTGATCCCTTAAAAACCATTTTAGCCTCAGACACAGTCACTGTAATTGTTGACGCATCATTGTTTGGCATTTTTGCTGTTGTTACTGCAGTAACTGCATAAAAGTGGACGCACATAGCTTCCAGACTTGAAAGCCAATCCAAAAGTGCTTCAAACCTGCATTTTTTCTGATGGCCAGCAGGCAGTGACACCTTTGTTTACAGGGGCAATTATCAGTTTGTTAGTGCATATATATATTCTTAAATTCCTGTATATTTTGTTATACTTTAAGGATGTTCAGTTTATTAGACTGAATCATGTTGGAATGAAACAAAGTTGTCATGTTTTCACCTGAATTTTATTTTACATTTGATTAAAAAAATATTTTTTCCAATTTGAATGTAATACATCAGTAATGTATGAAACATATACTATTGTATTACATGTATTAAATGTATTACATGTGATGTGTAAAACACGTACTCCACATGTAATGTGAAACAGTTGTCACAGGGTGTTCATTTCAGTCATCTGTTCTTGAATTCATCATGTGATCATTTTGTTATGTGACTGGATATTTTCTTCTTGCTTTAGGTCATGGTTCTGAGATTACTGGAGGGAAAGAAGTCGAGCCACACTCACTGCCTTTCATGGCTCATGTGAGAAGTGAACGATCTGTGTGTGGCGGGATATTAATCGATCCACAATGGGTCCTGACAGCCGCCCACTGCAAAGAGTAGGAATGTTTACTTTCTTAAAATTTCAAAATATTGCAATATTTATGTTTAACTGACTGTGTGAAAAATAATACATAAAGAGATTTAACAGGAGATCACAAGGAAAAGGTCTGTAAGACATGACTTGATCTGACAGCTTGGCAGATTAATGAAAATAGCAAACACAAAATAATCTTCTTTAAAGGTATTTTATTTTACATTTGGTTCAGAACTGGAATAAGAAAGTAGATACTAAACTATGTCAGTTTATTTTGTCCAGAATCTTTTCAAGCATCATATAAAATGCTTTATTATAATTATTAATGTAAAACTTTATTATTATTTTTCTATTTAACCTTTATTTAACCAGGAAGATCCCATTGAGATTAAAAGCCTCTTTTTCAAGGGAGACTTGGCCAAGATAGGCAGCAGCAAGTGTCTCACAGTTACAAAAATTACATAATTAAACACACATGCAAAAATAAATAAAAATAAAATTCAAATAAAATAAAATAAAAATGACAAACAATCTAATTAAAACACTTGCATGTTATGGACTTGGCCTCAACGATTCTTAGTTTTGATTTAAAAGCACTAAATGAAATGAATTCAGTCATTTTCCAGTGGTCACGCAGTTCGTTCCAAACCAAGGGTGCTAAATGGAAAAAAGCTCTTTTGCCAACTTCAGTTTGGGCAAATGGAACAGAAAACAACAAGTAACCTTGCGGATGAAGAGAATAACACCCAGCAGCTTTCATTGCAAGCAGGGAACATACACAGGAAGAAGCGTGATACACAGTACCAACCATTTGAAGACATTGAGCAGAATCATTCATATATAGAACATCTCCATAATCCAGCACAGGTAAAAATGTTGCAGCAATATGCATTAAATGAAACACAACTTACTTTTGAAAATAAAAACTCAGTTTAAACTTCAGTTTTTTCATGAGATTCTCTATATGTGGTTTGAAGGTGAGCGAGTCATCAATCAAGATACCCAGATATTTATACGTGTGAACCAACTCTATTTTATTACCCTCAAGAGTGGTTACTTGAAGAAATCGTTTGGGCCCATTTCCTTGATTTAGAAAACAACATGAGCTGTGTTTTGCCTAAATTGAGAACAAGTTTAAGCTGAAGTAATGAGTGCTGGACAGTAAAAAAGGCTTTCTGTTAGGAATGAAAAGCTTCATGTCCTGTTACAAATACATTGGAGGATGTACAACAGCAATGATGCATGTAGACTGTGGACCATCTAAGGCTGTACAAACCTAGATTGGCAAGTAAGGCTCCAGCCAGAAGCTCAAGTGCTGGTGCAAAGCAGATGGCTTCTGCTAGCAACACATGCACCGATGTGGTGTAGAGGGCTTGAGTCAACAGCACAGGGCCCGATGTGATGCAGATGAGCTTCTGCTAACAGTAAACGCCTTGGAGTAAAGTAGCTGGTTCCAACTAGTGGCACACGTCTTGGTGTGGTGCAGATTGCCTCATCTAGCAGCACTTGCCCTGGTGTGATACAAATGGGTCCAGCAAGCAGCAAAGGCCTCGGTGTGGTGTAGATCAGCGGTCCCCAACATTGTTTGTGCCACGGACAGGTTTATGTCCAACAACATTTTCATGGGTTGGTCTTTAGGGTGATGAAGATAGATAATTACAACAAAATAAAACCAGTACTGGTACCAAAAAAAAAAAAGAGAGAAGATTTATTCATAACACGGGAAAAGACCCAGGGAAACCGAGCTAACGATAAAAACAATTTAAAAAAACATAATGATAAAAACTGATAAAAACCCTGAAGACCATCAATTTCACACCCGAGCCTCAACTCTCACAGCTCGGTACCAAACGACTCACTGACAAGTACCGGTCCGTGCATTGGGGTTTGGGGACCGCTGGTGTAGATGAGAACGTGTTGAGATGGCCTCAGAGCGCAGCACAGGCCCTGGTGAGGCTCAGATGGTTTCTGCTCGCAGCAGAGGCCCTGGTGTGGTACAGACAACTTCTAGTAGTAGCAGAGGCCCCCCAAAATAGGCCCCTTTCCAAAAATTTACAGGATAATTTAAAATACCCTTAAAAACCTTGTTGGAAAAAATGAAAATGCATTAGAAATAGTAAACAAAACAAAACAAAAAACAGCAACAACAAAAACAAATTCAA